GGGGCCAAAGAGCCGCATGTGGCTCGCGAGCCGCGGTTTGTCGACCACTGCCTTATACTATCAAATTAAAAAAAGACAATAGCCAACACAACAATAGCCGTTTGGTGTGAATGAATCAAAATAATACTTATCTTTTGTCAGATAGGCAAAAAATATATTTTTGGTGTGCCACAGAATTTTAGTAATTAGTTTATGTGTGCCATGAGATGAAAAATGTTGAAAATCACTGCCCTAGGAAGCTGAGAATACTTATGTTCCCTTTGTTGAAGTCCTAAATTAAGTTCAAGTGAAACAAGCTACAACAAGTTATAATTACATACCAAATATAATCTTATTAATCTGCCAAAAGAATACCATTTGGTCTTCAAAAAGAAGAAAAAGAAAGAACAGTACAAGCAGTATTCAAAAATCACTGGAATGCCAGGCACAAATTATGTTACGTCTGCCAACCAGGAGATGCACAAATTACTAAAGAAATATAATACCAATTTTTTTAAACTACTAAACCATTCCAACCATTGAACTAATACTAATTTTAGAAATTTAACACTACTAACACACATTCATAATGGCAATGTTTTCAGCATTTTCAGGTAAATACCTTACTCTCCCAAATGAGAAAACATGGCTTAATTCTCCTTGAAGAATTCAGAGATTATATACTACAGGTTGAGAACCACTACTCTAGAAGGACATCAGCTGTGTTGCTGTAACAACCAGTCCTCTGGAGAAGTCCATCTGGTAAGAAACGGAGGCCTCCAGCCAACAGAGAGTGAGGAATTGAGGCCCTCTGCCAACAGCCATATGAGTGAGCCATCTTGGAAGTAAATCCTCCATCCCCAGTCAAGCCTTCAGATGACCACAGACCCAACAGTCTTTATGAATGCAACCTCATGAGCCAGTATCATTCAGTGAAGATGCTCCCAGATTCTTGAGCCACAGAAACTGTGTGAGATAATGTTCAGTATTATTTTTAAAGCTGCCAAGTTTTAGAATAATTTGTTTTGCTAAAATAGGTAACTCATACACCAATAAAACTTGTAAAAGCTCAAGTGTAATTCAGAATATCATTTACCTTATTTACTAAGCATCTGTACCGAGCACAATTCTCCAAATTAGCAAATTTCTAATCTACATATATCCACAGGTAAACAACCAGATATATGATTTCTAATGAAGTGAACAGTAAACCAAGAATAATGCAAAAGCTTTTATTGAGAGGCCTGAGGCATTGTAGAATAAAGTCTTCCAAGGAAAAAACACACATAACTTTGAATAAAAGCTGAAGCTCTTCTTTTCAAGAAAGGCTGCATTTTTTTAAAAGGGGTGAAAGAATGGAATAAAAACGACAAAAGAGCCCTAACCGGTTTGGCTCAGTGGATAGAGCATCGGCCTGCGGACTGAAGGGTCCCAGGTTCGATTCCGGTCAAGGGCATGTACCTTGGTTGTGGGCACATCCCCAGTAGGAGGTGTGCAGGAGGCAGCTGATCAATGTTTCTCTCTCATTGATGTTTCTAACTCTCTATCCCTCTCCCTTCCTCTCTGTAAAAAATCAATAAAATATATTTTAAAAAAAAACGACGAAAGAGTGATATGTTTGTCTTGTAATAAGAAACTAATATATAAAAATGAGGGGAGCACAGCCGATGTGGCTCAGTGGTTGAGCATCAACACAGGAACCAAGAGTCGGGGTTCGATTTCTAGTCAGGGCACATGCCCAGGTTGCAGGCTCCATCCCCAGTAGGGGGCATGCAAGAGGCAGATGATCAATGATACTTCTCTCTCATCAATATTTCTCTCTCTATCCCTTTCCCTTCCTCTCTCTCTAAAAATCAATTTAAAAAAACACATTTTAAAAAATAAAATGAAATAGTTTTTTAAAAAAGAGGGGGAAAGAGGACATGCAATAGGCAGAGTGGTGGGAATTTTGTAGGAAGATTAAATTTGATGCAGAACTTAACAAAATTTGTGGATGACTTTAAAGGAAGTTAAAAAGTGTTTACAAGGGATCTTTTTGAGGTGCTGAAAATGAAACAGTGGAGTGTGGTAACGGTTACACAATTCTACAATTTACTAAAAAGTCACTGAACTTTATACTTCAAGTAGACAAATTCTGCAGTACATAAATTATACCTCAGTAAAGCAGTGCTGTGTTTTTTTAAAGTGGTACAGGCATCTCTCAGAGATATCGCATGAAGGATTCCAGATATCACATTAATGCAAGACGTAATCTTTTTGCTGGTGGAGGGTCTTGCCTTCAATTTATAAAACACGTAACATCTGTAAGGCGCAATAAAGTGAAGCGCAATTAAACAAGGTATGTCTGTATTTATCTGTTCACTGAAGCAAGACAGAAAAATTACATTAGGGTTTCTCTGATTAAAAAAATAAAGCAGCCACCCTGGCTGGTGTGGCTCAACTGGTTGGGTGTCAACCCATGCACTGAAAGGTTGCCAGTTCGATTCCCAGTCAGAGCACATGCCCAGGTTGCAGGTTCAATCCCTTAGAGGGCATGCAGGAGGCAGCTAATCAATTTTTCACTCTAACATCAATGTTTCTCTCTCTCTCTCTCTCTCTCTCTCTCTCTCTCTCTCCCCCCCCCTTCCCCTCTCCCTCTCTCCCTTTTCCCTCCCTCTCTCTCTAAATATCAATTTTTGAATCTTAAAAAATAAAAAAAGCAGCCAAGAGGAAAGTATAGTAATTCATTCAACAGACAAGAAAATAAAATAAAATGGAATTTTTCACAGATTAAGAAATAGTAATGTTTCCATTTCAGCCCAATAAAGGACAGCATTGTGTCTCTGGGTAACTCTGTATATCTTGCTAAGACCACAAAAGCTTACTATCTTAAGACTAGAAAGACAATAGATTTGGAAACTTTAACTGTAAAATAAGGAGAAGAAACACTTCAACTTAATTTCCTATTTTAAAATAATGTATGGTAATTTCTTTACAAGCATGATGACAACACTCAAAACATTCAAATGGGGGATTTGGGAGTATTTTTGAAGTAGATTAATTTGCATTGGTTCAGGGACTTTTGCAGTTTCTTAAAAACAACAGTACTGCATTTTATTTACTCCATCTGCACTAGAGATCAAGCAAAACTGCACCTATAAACAACTAGAATTCACATTTGCTTTGAACTATGAAAATATTAACCTACTCTGACCTCCCCTGCACCAACTTCAGCAAACCCTGGGTCAAGAGTCTCAACTTCCCAAAACAGCACAGGTGTCTCTAATTTAAGACCTGCTAGTCTCCTCTCTGCCTTTGGCTAAATCAGTAGCAAGCCCAGAAAATAAAAACAAAAACCTCTACTAATTCATGTAGGTATTTTCTTTCTTTCTCCATAAAAGAATGTACTAGCAGATACAAATTAAATAACATATATCAATACATAATTCTATTTTCTCTAATTGGCTATAATAAAGGTCAAAATAGTTCAAGATAGTGATATTCGCTTATTTCCCACCTAGACTCGAAAATTTGTAATATCAATGAACTTTATATATTTCAATAAAACAACATATTGTGAACGTTTACAGTACCATGTCTAACCCTTAGTAGGCATTCAAGAAATGTTAGTTCCCTCTCTGTCCTTTCCATTAATTCTTATAGTATTTCCATGAAATATTTCCTGTTTATTATTACCCCAATATTAAGCAGGAGAACAGACCCCGAAAATTCAGGCTGCCTGGTTGTGATAAAGCAGCGGTTCTCAACCTGTGAGTCGCGACCCCTTTGGCGGTCAAATGACCCTTTCACAGGGGTCGCCTAAGACCATCCTGCATATCAGATATTTACATTACGATTCATAACAGTAGCAACATTACAGTTATGAAGTAGCAACGAAAATAATTTTATGATTGGGTCACAACATGAGGAATTGAATTTAAAGGGCCAGAAGGTTGAGAACCACTGTGATAAAGGGATTCGTTTGCAGAAATTAAAATTTAATCTACCTTCTTTGTCTCCCTTCCAAGGAAGTCAATTCCAAGGACCATGTTCCTTCTGCTATATAAATGGCTCATCTGTTTTTCCTTATACATCTACGATTAGATGTAGCAAGAATCCAAAGATTATCATCAACCCATGGAATCCCATGTACAAGTTCATGGGATTCCAGGTTGGAGGTTTGGGGGAGTACTGTCATGTTGTTGGGGTATTTTTATTTTTTATTTTTTTGCTATCAAGTTCACTCTCCCAGTAATCCAAGTCTCCTGTACCAATGAGCAATGGTGTCTTCACATATCTACAATCATGGAAAACTAGAACTACATGAACTATCATTAGCCCTTACTTTGACACAAAATGCTCTGACAGAAATAAGTTTGCAGAGCTGGTGAAGCTGCCATCTATAGCTCTTTTTGTGGACATCTGACACAAGATAGATATATGATCCAATGCTATATCCGGTGTAGTTTTGTTCAGGCTCTGATACTTAAGATGGGAACACAAGCATGTTATGTCAAATTAAATTCCAGTGGTTAGAGATGGACAGATTATGTCATCAGTAATAAAATTTATAGTTGTCAGTGATGGCCTGGCTACTGTCAAGATAGGCCCTTTGTTGCATTTAGTCTACCATTCACAGAAGCTACTGAATTTTAGAATGGCCGAAAGAATTAGTTAGCCTGTCACTTCCCACTACCCCACGCTGGTTTATAAACATAATGACTCCAATACAAGAACTATGCTTTCTAAGGATTTAATCATGGTATGTAAGTGTGTGTGTGTGTGTGTGTGTGTGTGTGTGTGTGTGTAAATTCATGGTTCTGTTCTGTGGTCACCAATATTTTATATTGGTTGGGCTATTTCTTTGACATTTAATACATTCTAACAATATACTAGATATAGTCCACAATATTAGATAAACCATAGGACCATGATGAGTATTTCCCTAAACAATCAAATCTGATCTCTTCTAGTTCAGTGGAATTGAAAATACTAACAAACAACACCTTGGGCAGGAAAGAGTAAATAAACCCAGGACATACCTTATTTACAATTCCCACAGACAGAAGAAATTCAATTCCATGCCAATCACACCCTTCGGTCACTAAAATACAAACAGAAAAATAAATGTTCACGCACTATAAGCAGTTCTTTCAGTTCCTAAAGGGTATTTGGTTTCAAAGGTAATAAGCTGTTTCTTATCTCCTTTCTATGGGTGAGCTCTGTCACTGGCACAAAGGTCCAAAGAGGTAGAGGGAAACAATAGGTAACACTAACTGAGCACTTACTATATGCCAGGCACTGTTCTAAGTGCTTACATGTACTAATTAATTTAATCCTCACAGCAATCCTGTGAGATACTCTTGTAAACTCTTTTTACATCAAAATAACAACTGACCTATACATCTGAAAAGTGTTCTCACTGGTGTTAAAAATGCCTTTTAAATAAACGTAGGCAATTTCAAACATTGTAGCTGGACTGTCTCAATGGTTGATATCTGTGTTCCATATTCATCTACTCATTGTGCATTTCTTGAGCACACACCAGGTGTTAAAGAGGATTCATTCTCTGCCCTTTAGGAATTGAGAAAGCAGTTGTGAAGATCAGACTAAACTACAAGAAATGGTTCAAGAAATGAAATGCCCTATTATGAGGCACATTCTCTTTATACAACCATTCAGTTTGGAAAAAAAAAATCAACAACCTTTGGTAAAAGGGAGAAAAGCTGCACATAAAAAGTACCATAAACCTAGATCTTTAAAAATAGGTTACGTTGCCAAAGTAAGGAGAAAGGCTCTTTAGCTAAGAAAATAAGAACAAAAACATGGTGGAAGGGACATAGTGTACCTGAGGTCCTTCATAATCTGATCCCACCCAGTTTTACTAGCCTTTGCTGTGGCCACTAATCTCCCTCCCACTTCCCATTAGCCAAACCAAACTTCTTACTTCTAGGACATACAATCTCTAATAGTTCCACTGTTTCTCCTACTATATTACCCCTTTTCCCTGGTGGGTAACTTTAATCCTAGTATACAGTAGGTACTCAATAAAATATAACTATTGTTGTAAATAACTTTTATTATTTAACTAGAGGCCTGGTGCATGAAATTCATGCACTGGGTGGGAGGGGGGGTTCCCTCAGCCCGACCTGTGCCCTCTCACAGACTGGGAGCCCTCAGGGTAGGTCTGACTGACAAGGAGGCAGGAGAGGCTCCCGCCACCACCACTGTGCTCACCAGCCATGAGCCGGGCTCAGGGCTGCTGGGTGAGCAGCGCTCCCCCTGTGGGAGCCCACTGACCACCAGGGGGGCAGCTCCTGCATTGAATGTCTGCCCCCTGGTGGTCAGTTCGCATCATAGCGACTGGTCATTCTGCCGCTCGGTCTATTTGCATATTAGCTTTTTATTATATAGGATATCCACTTGAAACATTTTTCTGAAGCCTTTTCTAATTCACCAGTTAACCTACTCAGTGCCTCTCCACCACACTCACATGGCATTTGTCCATTTCTCTGTTAGAATGGTAAAACATTTTATTGTCCCCAGGTTTCCTTTTTTCTTTCTCTTCCTTGTCTGAACAGGAAACATCTTTTATACAATTTGATATCCCCTGAAACCTAGCACAGCGTCTGGCACATAATAGGTACCTGTTATGTACTTGTTAACTGAAGACCCAACTGACTTGAATTTACAAAACGAAAGAATTCTTCTAAATAGTCAATTCCTTTAGTACATTTAAACAATTCAGTGTGTCAAAAATCTAACCCACTTTTACATTTTCATGAATACCAGTATGTCTGCTACATAATTATACCAACAATTCATGCGCAACAAAGTCAAAGTAGATTCACTAAAAACTACCAGCTGTCTACTTTTTGCTTTACAACAAAACAAGATCCTCATCCAGGCCAACTGAGATAGGAGAAATTAACAGAACTGATCACTTAGGTATTGCGCTGGTGACCTTTCTCACTGAAACAGTGCCACAGTTCTGAATGTAATATGCATGTTTAAATAGGTATTTATATTGGCTTTAGTTGAGGTTACAAATTTAGAAGTTCAATCATAAATCCAAAGTTTATTTATAGAAACTTTCCATATGGTAAGAGTTTAAGAAGTAAAACAGCAGCCGAAACCGGTTTGGCTCAGTGGATAGAGCGTCGGCCTGCGGACTGAAAGGTCCCAGGTTCGATTCCGGTCAAGGGCATGTACCTGGGTTGCGGGCACATCCCCAGTGGGGGATGTGCAGGAGGCAGCTGGTCGATGTTTCTCTCTCATCGACGTTTCTAACTCTCTATCTCTCTCCCTTCCTCTCTGTAAAAAATCAATAAAAGTTCAATCATAAATCCAAAGTTTATTTATAGAAACTTTCCATATGGTAAGAGTTTAAGAAGTAAAACAGCAGCCTTTTTCTCTGCCGAAAGCATAAGGTAGCGGAGTGCCAAAGGAGCAAACCCTCTCCTGACTCTGTTCTTGGCTCTGCTTAAAGCAGAAGAAATAGGCATGGAAAGCAGGAGCCTCACTAAAAATCACTTACCCACGACAATGGGCATTTTCAATGTTTGTGCTATGCAAGACTTAAGTATTAATTTCATACATGCCCATGTTCATTTGAAGCACAATTTGTGGCTTGGACTTAAAAAATGTTCTAATGTGCTAGTTTGTCCACATATTAATCCAGTCAGCCAGGTTTGAACATGCCAAGCTTAAAATACTCTAGATCATTATGCAAAGATATTAGCTCAATCCTTTATTCTCAGGAAAAGGAACTTAGGGGAGAATGACTAAAGCAATAGGATTTCAACAGTATTTTTAACACAAAAAGTCAACTCCTAAATAGTGATGAATTTTTTAAAATATCTAAATGGAAATAAGAATCAAGCTAATAACAGATTTCTTATAATTATTAATCTCAAAATGAGATCCTACATTTTTAGGTCAAAGTTGTCAGAGAATGTATTTTGAAACTAATTTCAAAATTTTTTTACATGAGACCATCTTATAAAAAGGTTGTTTGTTTTAGCCCATCCAGTATTGCTAAGAGGTTGAACATCGACCCATGAACCAAGATGTCACTGTTCAATTCCCAGACAGGGCACATGCCTGGGTTGCAGGCTCGATCCCCAGTAGGGGGCATGCAAGAGGCAGTAGACAGATGATTCTCTCATCATTGATGTTTCAATCTCTCTCCTCCTCTTCCCTTCCAAAGAAGTTATATGCATATATGCACAACCATGGACACAGACAATAGTGTGGTAGGCCTGGGGGTGGGGGGGCAAGTGCAGGGTGGAGAGAGTCAATGGGGGGAAACGGGGGACTTCGGTAATGCTCTCAGCAATAAAGATAAACTTTTAAACATTAGATGTGTGTGCCCTGAAGATTTAGAAACGCTGTCCATTAAAAACTTGGGCAGCAGGCCCTGGCTGGTTACCTCAGTTGGTTAGAACATTGCCAGATACAGAAAGGTTGTGGGTTCGATCCCCGTTTAGGAGAGATGCAAAGAATAAAAGGAAAGTAATCAAAAAATGGAATAGAAGGGGGGAAAGGAAGAAAGATAATTAATACAAAGTTTTGACTCTGTTATTGAAAAAAGGAGGAGAAAAAACAATTCTCAAATTGAACTGTGGTTTTTAAGCAATCAACAGCATATGATTACGTATCTCCTCAAACTGAACACCTATGAAAAAAATCTCAATCTCATTTTGCCTGAATCCTCTATTTGTTCCTTCACTTCCAACGAGAATAGCATTAAGTGAACTGGGTCCCCTGGAGAAAGTAGGGGTCAGAAATGTCAGTCCATGTAGCCTGTCAAAGTACTGGTGCTGGCTGGAGCTATTAGAGAGTCTCAAAAGTAGAGTCAAGAGAGACCACTGTGTTCCCAAACATGTCCCTACCTCTTCTAAAAGAGACTGGAAACTTGCAAGGAACAATATACTCTGCTCCCTTTCATATCCACAAAACCTTTCCTTTCTGATTATCAATTTAACTTGCATAGAGATTTTAAAGAACAGTTAACATAACATTAAGATGACAAAGGTTTGAAAAGGGAGGCAATACCATATACTGTATATTATAGATGAAGGAAGGGAATAAGGAAGACATATGTAGCCCTACTGTCAATCCAGCTGCAGCATTCAACTTAACATGCTTGGTAAGGCACTAGAATATACATAATACTTCACAAATCAAACACTAAAATCTCAAGGCTTCCACTAATTAGAGTTTCAAAATCTATCAAAGTTTCCAGTTTTGCCTTCCTCTGCCAGCACCCCACAATAGCCATGGGAAGATCTCCCACTTCACTGTGTATTAAGACTCAGATTTCATAGCTCCAGACAGGCAGAAATAGCTACCACTTTTTCAAACTACAAAGCAAAATTCACTTTATAATTTTCAAGTATTTGAACACTTATTCCCTTATGTGATTCTCCTAACACTAAAAAATGGTTATTTTCAGAGATGATGGATGAAGAACAAACCCCAGCAAAGCCTTTAGAACAGTGGTTCTCAACCTTCTGGCCCTTTAAATACAGTTCCTCATGTTGTGACCCAACCATAAAATTATTTTCGTTGCTACTTCATAACTGTAATGTTGCTACTGTTATGAATCGTAATGTAAATATCTGATATGCAGGATGGTCTTAGGCGGCCCCTGTGAAAGGGTCGTTCGACTGCCAAAGGGGTCGAGACCCACAGGCTGATAAGCGCTGCTCTAGTATAAGTGGAGTCCTAGGAGAAGTGGCCCATTTGTCTATCAGTGGTCTAAATAAGAGAGACAGAGAGAAAGAGAGACACATCGATTTGAGAGTGAAACATCAACCAGTTGCCTCCCGCACACGCCCCAATCTGTGATTAAACCTGCAACCTGGGTATGTGCCTTAACTGGGAATCGAACCCATGACCTTTCGGTGCATGGGACAAATCCTCCAACCAACTGAGCCACACCAGCCAGGGCCCACACATTGCCAGTTTAATCAAAACACTCCAATTTCTGGAAGAACCCACTATTCACAGAACTTTGGGCTCTTTTAAATCTTCTCAAGAATTGTCAACAATGCTCAAAAGTTCTTGCTTAACTATCTAAGGCACTTGCTTTTCTTATTCTTGGTTTTGGGTTCAACATTCTTTAGATGACAGCAAGCTGGTCTCTGGATAACCAAAGTTTTAACATAGGCATTTTCATGTCTATGTCTACCTGCATTTAAGCAGAGTTTGCAGATAAAAATAAACACATTAAAGTTCTCACTTCTGAAAAACACAACAAAGATGATAAAATTAAAAATACTTTTTTAGTAGTCCACAATAATTTATTATTCAACTGTCAACAGGGCCTGGAACATGACAGGCACTTAATACTTTTTGAAGTAATGGTTTAAGAAGATAATATGGCTCAGTGGTTGAGCATCAACCCATGAACCAGGAGGTCACAGTTCCATTCCGGGTCAGGGCACATACCAGGTTTTAAGCTCAATCCCCAGTAGGGGGCATACAGGAGGTAGCCAATAGATGATTCCCTCTCATCCTTAATGTTTCTATCTCTCTCCCCCTCTCCCTTCCTCTCTTTGAAATCAATAAGAATATATTTTCAAAAAAAGAAGAAAATGGCAGCAAAGGTGTTTGTTTTGGAGTCAGATCTGGACTTGTAACTCATTTCCTACCTTTACTAGGTGTACTGGTTAATAATGGCAGATTTTGTAATCAAAGAAAACACAATAATTTCAAGAGAAACATCAAAGGGAAGTCACTGTTTTGAACAGAGAAGTGACATGATCTGACCTAGGCATAAAAAAATGACTCAAGCCCTAGCCAGTTTGGCTCAGTGAATAGAGCGTCAGCCTGCGGACTGAAGGGTCTCAGGTTCTATTCCAGACAAGGGCACATGCCCTGATTTTGGGCTTGATCTCCAGAAGGGGGCGTACAGGAGGAAGCCAATCAATGATTCTCTCTCAGTGATGTTTCTATCTCTCGCTCCCTCTCCCATCCTCTCTGAAATCAATAAAAATATATAAATAAATAAATATAAATTTAAAAAAGAACGGTTCATTAAAAAAAAAAAAAAAAAAAAGATGATTCAGGCTGCTGTGTCATTTACCAGACAAAGGGTAGAAAAAAAGGTAGAAGCTGGGAGATAATCCAGACAAGAGAGAGCAGTGGTTTAGACCACAGTGGTAGCAGCAGAGATTGTGAGAAGTAGTTGATTTTGAATATATTTTAAGGAAGGTCCAGTAGATTTTCCTGGCAGACTAGATGTGAGATATGAGAGAAAGATAAGGGTCCAAAGTTTTGACCAGAGCAACTAAAAGAGTAGAGTTGTCATCAAATAAGTTAGGGAAAGCTTCTGGTGGAGGAAACAAGTTTAGAGGAGGAAATGAATAGTTTACTTTTAGTTTTGTATATCTTTTTTGAGTCAGTTAGCTTTCCAACTTTCCCAAGAGGTAAATAGGATCAGATTGATGAAATAATGTTTTTTAACATTTCTATTTTATCTTGTAATAGATGATAAACCATAGGTTTTATCTGACGTAGGACCTACAGTTTTATAACAAATTAATTTCAATAGTTACAATATACATGGAAAAAGATAGTCATTAGATCATTATACTGATTAATTCCCAATGACTGACCATATTTGTAAAGCCTGAAGATCAAGACTGAAATCCATTTCAACTCACAGTTATAGGGTATGGGGTCAAATCTCAATCTAATAAAATAGAATGAGCTCCTGGCATCTGTTACCAACACTGAATTCTTCATCCTGAAAGCAACTGAAGAATTCCAGTGTTTGGTCCTAACATGATCAACTTCAGTCTGACACACTCCTCTTGTCCTAAACACAAATTTCTCTCTCCTTGGTTCCTGGAAGATCCCAAAAGAAGAGAATGGCCTAGTGCCTGAGAACAAATGCATCTAGGAACAAAAGCAATACAGAGAGGAGCCTACCCAGGACCAGCACTATTCCCACACTCAAGGTCATTTGAGAAATCACAAAATCACATTTGAGGGTTGGAAAGGAAGCATCATGTGTCAACAAATATTTTCCAAATAACCATGGCTAAATGCTAAGGGTACACAGATGATTATCATAAAATTCCTATTCAAGTCATTGTGAGTGAAAGTACTTAAGTAGAGAAATTAACTAAGGGTTATGGAAGTATAGAGGTGGAAATAAAGGAGATTTTCCAAATAAATTGCAAAGAATTAACTTGAGATCACCACATCCAACACCTCTTACCAATCTGCATTCAGAAGACTCATGTGGTGAATCAGGCTAAGAAGAAAGCAAAGTTGCAGTCTTTGCAGGACTGGGACTTGCAACCTCTTAGAATCAGGCTCTTGTTCTCTTATGTGCTTGGTTAAAGAAAATAGTTAAAGGTGGTCATGATCATTTCCTTCTTTCCTTTTCCACAAGAAAACAAAAAACTGGGATCATAACAAAACATTGTTTTACTCCAACCATTATTTTCTCAGAGCCAATCTCCAAATTTTGAGATAATACTTAATCCTGAAAATATTTGCTGGAAGAAAATAGTGCTTTCTCTTCCCATCCTAAAGGAAGTTTTATTTAACCTAGGCTATTTACAACTTTAACTTCTATGGTAAAACTAACCATAACCATTTCTAATGCCAAGTGACTTTTACTCTGGCCCAAGTTTTAAACTCGCCACCTCCCAAGCTTAGGAGTCTTTCTAGCTTTGAGTCTTCGGCACGCTTGTTTTTCATTGTTACTGCTAATTGTACCCTCAGAAATTCAGTCACAAAGCTCTACGGGTACTTACTCTATTAATTCACAAACTACATTTCATTTTCATTTACCAGACAAAATCTTAAAGGCCTATACTGCACAGTATCAAACAGTGTCATCTGTCTTTACACATCTCCAAAAGAAAAAACTTATCTCTGATATGAGTTTTTACTTATTGGTAATCTCGCTAACAGAAACGTACTTCACCAGGATCACATATTCCAGCAAACTGCTGCTATCTCAGCAATTACAATGGAGTATATGCTTTCAATAGTTAGTCAGGCCTTGGAAGTGGTTTAGCACACGGAAATTCACCAACTGGCATCTACAATTAGATTCAAGGAGACAAATAAAATTTTTGTATCAGGTTTTTCCAAGACTTAACTAGTTCTTAAATTGGTTATACATTTCTGAAGTATTTACAGATTAAATGATATAATGCCTGGGATTTGTTTTAAAATACTGAGGAAAAGAGGAGCAAGGTTAATAATCAAGATTGGTTATGTGTTGATAATTATTTTTTTAAATATATTTTTATTGATTTCAGAGAAGAAGGGAGAGGGAGAGATGGAAACATCATTGATTGGCTGCCTCCTGCCAACTGGGGATCAAGCCCACAACCCGGGCATGTGCCTTGACCAGAATCGAACCTGGGACCTTTCAGTCCGCAGGCCAAAGCTCTATTTACTGAGCCAAACCGGCAAGGGCTGTTGATAATTATTGAAACTGGGTGATAGGTCCATGGTGATGGTTCATTTTATTATTATTATCTTTATGTGTTTGAAATAGTCCATATAAAGATTTAAACTTTTTTTTAACTATGTCGTGATCTACTGAACTTGAGAAGCAAATAGAGAACAAAGTGATTATTAGGACCAATGAGCTCCATAATCTATCAGAGTAAAAAGTGTTCCTTTCTTTTGCCCTGGACCGTTTGGCTCAGTTGGTTAGTAAATAGAGAAATTCAGTAAGGGAAATTAACTAAAAGGTAGCCTGTTCAATTCCCAGATAGGGCACATGCCTGAGTTGCAGGCTCAATCTCCAGTAGGGGGGTGGGAGGGGGAGTGTGCAGGAAGCAGCCAATCAATGTTGTGCTCTTCTCCCTCTCCCTTCCTCCCTAAAAATCAATTTAAAAAAATTTTGAAGACATACCTCGATTCTAACACTTATTTCTCACTGAACAAATATTTATTGATCACAACTACCATGTGCCAGGCACCAACCTTAGTATTAAGGATACAATGATAAACTAAATTCTCTCTCCCTGAAGGAACTGAGTAGGGAATGTCTCATGAAAGAGGCAAAAATACATGGTGTCATAAACCAAACAAGAGGGAGATCTAATCCAATTCTTGCCAATCAGGAAAAGCTTCTCCAGCACCATCTAAGTTAATTCTGACAGATTCAACCCAAAGAAATGAATTTCCTTTTTTGTCCATGTTGACTTTAGCATAATCTCACAGACTGTCAGTTTAATAAGGAAATGCTGGTTTCTTTCTGAAGTATCCATTTCTCTATAAAGCTGAAATTATCAAATTATCATTCATTCAACAAATACTTATTAAATACCTACCATGCACTAGCATGTGCTAGATAAAAAGAATAAAACATGTTCTCTGCCCTCCTGGAGTTTAATCTCAGAGCATAGGAAGGACAAAAACAAACAAGAAAAGAAGCTATCAAGCAGAAATATAATTACAAACTTCTCCAAGCTATAAAGGAAATGAAGAAGGGACTTTGTGGGCAGAAAGTATCCACTTTTTAGATATGGTGATAAGGAAAGTTGAACAAATACAGACCAAAGGATGATAAAGTAACTGACTGAAGGATAATGGAATTTTAGACCAGGTGGTGAGATCAGCATAGATAAAGCATACTTACAATGTAGGTAATGGGAAGAATCTTGATTTTAAGTGCAATGGGAAACCACTGGAAGTGAAGGTTTTAAGCAGATAAGTGACATGATTCAGTTTATGTTTTTAAGATTGTTCCTGCTACCCTGGAGAGAATAGATTAAAAGAAAATAATTTTTACCAAGAGGAATTTTAGACGAGTAAAATTGATTTTGGCCAGTGAAAATCATCTCTGCGTTCTATTAACAATCCAAGTCTTTTAAATTGCCTATGTAGTCCAGGCTTCACCTACAGTTTTGTTTTGTCTTTTGTTTTTAATGCTTACAACCAGTAGGCCAAGCTCTCTGGGAAACTGAAACAAGCCCATATGCCTGAGGGTTAGCATTCTTCTTCTCATTCTCCAATTGCCAAAGTCAGATTAATTTTCATTTACTTATCTTCTATTCCACCATCAGCATCTTGACTGAAAGGAAGAGAGAAGGGGACTCCTCAAGTGTTTCATGAGACAATAAACTTTACTGAACATCTGATAAGGAATATGATTGCAAAACCTTTCTTCTCATTGCCAACTATGTTTCAGGTGAGAACTCCACTATGAAAGCAATTCTAATATTCCTGTCCAAATTATCTCAGAAAGCCATCCAAAAATTTTTTTTAAAAAAGCTGCCTAAAGCACACCCATTTATTTCTGCTTTTAAAAAAGTTTCCTCATTCCAAAGTCAGAACAAGAATAAATTTCTAATAACATTTGTAATTGATATGGAAGGAAAAATATATTCCATTGTCAATCCCTGGGGCATGTAGCTAAGAAATCTTAATAAAGGCACTAACAACGCTATGCTCAGAGTTTTATTCAGTTATTTGAAAATGAAAGGAGGAATGAGAAACAGTACCAATATCTGTGAAATATCCATGAGTTTTACATACATTATCTCACTTAATCTTGACAACATCCCTACAAGATAAGTATACCCCCATTTTACTGATGAGGACACAGGCCCAGAAGTTGACACTAGCTCAAGGTCAGACAACTACTAAGTGGCTCTATGGACCATCCTCTTTCTATTAAACAAATGTTTAAATAAAGACCTAGCTTAGAGAAATTCTGCTACATGACCAATGTATTAATAGATAAGAAGTTTTATACAAGGCCCTAACCGGTTTGGCTCAGTGGATAGAGCGTCGGCCTGCGGACTGAAGGGTCCCAGGTTCGATTCCAGTCAAGGGCATGTACCTTAGTTGCGGGCACATCCCCAGTGGAGGGTGTGCAGGAGGCAGCTGATCGATGTTTCTCTCTCATTGATGTTTCTATCTCTCTCCCTTCCTCTCTGTAAAAAATCAATAAAATATATTTTAAAAAAAGAAAGAAGTTTATACAAGTATGTGTGTACATGTGTGTTTCATCTGGAGGTCAAATCATCAATTGTAATATTTTTCAGGGGCGGAAATGTTTAAGATCCTACTTGGAGACAGACCACCAGAAATCACCTCTGAAGAGATGAGGGAGTTTAGTGGCAAAATTTATTAGGGTTAAGTTATTTGCTCTTTAATGAAGCCAAAGGAGCTTCTCCTTAAAGTCAGTATATACTTTCTCAGGGCTAGCACCTGTGTCTCCTGACAGAGGTATGTACAAGGACCATTCTCAAGTCCAGAAATGTCTGTGATGATTTAGGGTGGTGACAATGAGCAACACAAACATGGAAAAACAACTATTCTGTCAACAAATAAAATCAAAGCACCTAATAGCGGCCAGCACATAACAACTACTCAATAAAAACTAGTTTCTTCTAGTCTCTGCTCTGAGTTATCTGTACAAAAAAATAACTGCTGGATGAGCCATATCATCTTACTTAGGCAGATTGATGAAAAGTTCTTTCTGTAAAATCCAGTCAGATTGAGTTTGCATATTTGGTCCCACATTTCCTAAGAACAGTAGGGGTACAACCAACCACATCTCAGAAGTCAGAAGTCTTCTCTTATAGATTTTTTAATTTAAATTCTTTATTGCTTAAAGAATTACATAAGTTTCCTTTTTTCCCCATTGACCTCTCCCTGGCCACTCCCACCCCCCAACACATGCCCTCACCCCCCTACTGCCTGTGTCCATTGGTTATGCTCATATGCATGCATACAAGTCCTTTGGTTGATCTCTTACCTCTCTCCTCCCCTGCCTTCCCACTAAGGTTGAACGGTCTGTTCAATGCTTTATGTCTCTGACTATTTTTGTTCATCAGTTTATGTTGTTCATTATATTCCACAAATGAGTGAGATCATGTGATACTTATCTTTCTCCAACTGGCTTATTTCGTTTAGCATAATGCTCTCCAGGTCCATCCATGCTGTTGCAAATATTAAGAGTTCCTTCTTTTTTACAGCAGCGTAGTATTCCACTGAGTAGATGTAGCACCTTTTTTAATCCACTCATCTGCTGATGGGCACTTAGACTGTTTCCAAATCTTAGCTATTGTAAATTGTGCTGCTAGGAACATAGAAGTGCAGCTATCCTTTCTGATGGGTGTTTCTGATTTCTTGGGATATATTCCCAGAAGTGGGATTATTAGGTCAAATGGGAGTTCCATTTTTAATTTTTTGAGGAAACTCCATACTGTTTTCCACAGTGGCTGCACCAGCCTGCATTCCCACGAGCAGTGCAAGAGGGTTC